AGCTCAGGGTACTGATGAGTTAGAGAGGTGGGTCTATTATTATTAATATTCCTTAAGCTGGATTTTTACAGTTTTAAGGCTTTTAAAATAATAATACTAATTTTTTGTATTTATTAATCTTTTTAGCTTTGTGGTTTTGTGAGATGGGCAGCTACAAAATTTGAAAATAGATAGATGGTAGATAGATAGATAGATAGATAGATAGATAGATAGATAGATAGATAGATAGATAGATAGACAGACAGATAATGTATGTATGTATGTATGTATGTATGTATGTATGTATGTATTCTATGTTATGGATTTTGTTTTTGCTGTGGATTCCATCAAACAAGAGAGCATCTCATTGCCTTTGAAGTGGCCACAGCACCTGGCCCATATGGAACCATTAAAATCTGCTTGAGAATGCTTCACAGTTATGAACTAGGAAGACCAAATTCAATTTAAAGATACAAGTTTCTCACTTCAATTACTTCTCTGAACTTAAGCAGACTCTATAATGATCCAGCTTCTCCTAATGATTAGCTCTTCATTTATTTGCACCAGTCTGAAAGGCTTCAGTTATTCAGAACAGTTTTGGAATTTGCTATACAGGAAATTATATAAGAAGATAGGAAAAAGTAAACTTAAACCCCCACATCTGGCCAGGATAAACCTATCTTCCAGGCATCATAACTACTTTGGGGCTGCACAGTCTTCTGTCTCCCTTATGCCAGACCTCCTTGCTTTTATCCTCTGAGTTAATATTTGTATCAGAATTTATTTGGATCTTGGGTACATTGCACCCATAGCATCAAGCCATACAGCTGTTATGCACAGACTCTGGGGATATCTGATGACAGCTTGGGCTAATCTCTGGACGGCTATATGGATTCAAAATATTGTGTGAGCTTGTTAGATCTTAGCAAATGTTAATATTTGTTAGCAAGTTGGCACATAGATAAGATTTGCTTTTTCCTGCCTTGCCAAGAAATAAAATGTGAATTACTGGTACAAGGCATAGAGAAATGCATCTGTTTCAATAATCTGAAATAATACCATCCTTGTTTGGTTTTAATCCTATGAAGTTATCAGGTGCCAAGTCATGTGTTACTAAAAGCCTAAGTGCCTAATTTTCCTATTTACTCAGAAATAAGTCCCATTGGGTTCAAGCTGGCTTACCCTTGTAAAAGCGTGCGTGCCATTTCAAGCTGAACCAATGAATGATAGTAATCAGTTCATCTAACCCTTTTGCCTTCTCTGACATAATATTTTCACGTACAGTTTATATTTTATTCCTATAGAATTGAGGGAAGGTGTGGCAGTTTGGAGTAGCATTTCCTGTGTGTTTAATAACAATACTGATCTCTCTAGGGTGCACCCTGAATTAATAAGGGAGCAGAAATTCCACCTCTTTGACATTCTAGTGATTGATGAAAAAGAACTGCTGTGGATTAGGGCTTATGCAGTAAAATTAATAATAGATAAATCAGCAGGCTGAGCAGGCCTGTGTATGATCTTCTTTGGCAGATTTGTTTCAGGACATGCTGCCATGCTGATCAAGCACATTTCTGAAGCTACGGTTGAGGTCATATTGCAGTTGATGATGTGAAGGAGGGAGGAAAAGTTGCTTGGGATTAATTCCTTATTTGCATGTTTAGAATTGCAACTTTTTTAAAAAAAATTCCACTGTATGAACCATTTTTACAGATAAAAATGGCCTTTTTTCTGCACTTAAATATTCAGGAAATAACAAGAATGCATTGAATCCAGTAGATACAAGCACACGTGCACACACACAGGGTGCGTGTGTGTGTGTGTGTGTGCATGCATGTGTGCACATCTAATGTGGAGGGAGACATAGAGTGATTTGCATTCATTAACATTTTTTTTACTTTACTGAGAAATATAAGGCTATTTTGCTACCCAAAATGTTAGCACTTGGTTAGCCAATTTATAAAATAAAGAGAACTATAGGTTAAGAGAACTGGATTCAGTTTCAATTAAGATATGACATACCCATTTAAATAATTCTAAGCACCATGGACAGGGTCGCGATGGCTCAGTGGTTAAAGACACTGAGCTTATCAGCTGGAAAGCTGACAGCCTGGGTTTGAACTTTGGCTCCCGTTCCTTGCCTCAGCTCCTGCCCACCTAGCAGTTTCAAAGCATGCAAATGCAAGTAGATGAATAGCTACCACCTCAGTGGGAAGGTTACAACGTCCCATGTGCCTTTGGCTTGTAGCCATGCTGGCCACATGACCATGGAAATTGTCTTCAGACAATGCTGGCCCCATCAGCTAAGAAATGGAGATGTACATTGTCCCCTAGAGTTGGACACGACTTGACAGGAAAAACTTTACTTTTACCTTAAGCACCATGGAAAGAAGGCAAAATATAGATTTCACCTTGATTTCCTCCCTCTTTATTACATATTATTGAACTAGAACCACCTCCAGGATTGGCTCCACGCTCCCCTGTTCCTATTTCTCCTGCTAGGCAACTGGGATGATTTATTCCTGGTTTAGGATTAATATATTTCAAATCACTGTGGAGCTAGTTTGTTTTCTGAAGTGCTATGACTTCTCTGGAGTTTCTGGCTGGGCCATTTTCTTTTGTCTCTCCTCAGCTGCAGACGTCTTAGTGATTTTTCAAGTGGAAAGGTCCCTTGTTTATTTTTTTAACTCCAACCTTATAAGGTTATGAATTTTTGCAGATAACCAGACAAATGAACTCAACATGATATATAGGCCGTGGGAGGAAGAGTAATAATATATTTTCCTTCCTCTTAATATGGCACAGGGATGTAATTTGTGTGTGTTATTGCTGTTCTACACAGGACTTGTGTTAGCTCAGGAGAAAGGCATGCTTTTGGTTCTTGTATTCAAGGTTTCTAAGTTGACTGAAGATATTTTCAGACTGCTTTTATGGACTTGGGGGAGTGAAAGCAGTGAGTAGAAGCACCCTGTCCAGTTCTACAGTTTCTGATTGCTTCCAAGTTTATAGGACTAATTCATGTCTATCCACCAAAGTCACATAGAAAACACTTTACTCCCTTCTTTGCTGCATTAGCTTGTTTCAAAAAAACCTGACCCATATAGTTTCCTGCAGCTTAGGAATTAGTTTGCTTTTAGAGTAACCTGGAAAAAAATCTGTGTCAGCAGCTTTGCTTTTTCTTTCAGCCCTTACAAGACTCGTGCATTTTCATTCAAACCTAATTAGGCATTCTTTCAGTATTTTTTTCCTTTCCTTCTTTCTCTGCCTGGAATAACTATGCTAAATGCCAGTAGATACATTTGGGCAAACTAGAAACAAGACAGTATTGATGGAGTGTGATTCAGGCACAGGTATTTTGTGAATCTGTCAGATTCCGCCCCCCCTTCCTCTTGCTCATCCTACTGTCTCCCTTCTCATCTTTTAGTTAGGGTGGAGTATTTGTATTTTTACAGTATTTTATTTGTATTGTTTATAGATGTTGTATAGTTTTAATCATCTTTTTAATATGTTACCCTGTGGTAAAATGCTAAGTCAATAAATTCAATAAATAAATAAAAGAAATTAGGGCTTATTTGTAAGCAGTGTTAGATTGAAATGGGTAATCATATTTATTCAAGCATGTCAGCAAATGAATTAATTGCATATTGATATAGCAAGCTAGTGCTAAGATTGTAGAATTCTTTAGACAGCAGAAAGTATTTAAAATACTGACTGTGTATTAGGTTTTGTTGAACTACCCATTAATATTCCATTTGAGTTTATGGCAATTTTAACTTTAACAGCCTACAAATCTATGGCATCACAGTCATTCATGTAGCTAATACATATAATAAAAGCCCCCAAAAGAACTTACTTTAATATCTTGTCTATGTGAATGGCAGGTTTCTGAACATGATGTTAGCCTTTATATTTGGAGGGAGTTCACATTCAAGAATACAGTATAGTTGTGGAGGACATACATTTTCAAGGAAGAAGGATTTTCCCGAGTTTTTGTTCAGCAATCAAGTAGAGGATTTGCCCCAAAGGATGGGTCTTCAGAATCTCATAAAACTAAGTCTACAATTTTCTAAGATTAGTCACAGAAACAGTAATTCTTTAAAGAAGACAGTAGCAAAATCATTGTGTGCAGCACGGAAAGAGCCAAGGGGAACAAAAAGAAAAAAATAAATCTGTACAAGCAAGTACAAAACCATAAAAGATGGGTTACTCATTCTTAAGGATATTGCCAAAGGATTGGCCATGAGCCATTAGGAGTAGGGAAAGGCAATTTGAAATCAGTAAAATTAAGAATAATGGTGTATTGATTAAAACCAGTCCACAAGATACATAAAACACTATGAATCATCACAGATTTAATATATTGTTATTTCCATCCTGTACTATAAAAAAGCATTTATTGGTCGTAATATAATTTTCTTGCTGTGTATAAACACCAGCGTATACATGATGATCTCATTGTATGATGTAAAGAAATTCCCTTCAAGTGCCTGCCCTAAAAGGACTATTTTAAGAAAGGAACAATTGCATCATAGATTTTGATTTATTCAAAACTGAAAAAGGAATAATAATGGATCCGGAGAGTATGTTATTTACACTTATATAGCATTAAAATTAGAAACATGCTCTTTGTAAATGCTTGCTTGAGAAGAATCACAGAATTATTACATTTATTTTCAAGATATCTTTTGGATTGGCATGTCACAATTAGATTAGAAATATCATTTGAATGTAAAAGTAAAAGTATTTTATAATGTGCACCATTATATAATAAACCAAAATTACTACTTCCCTGGAAATCATGTTTTTAAAGTTACTGGTTTTTCCATGAATTCTTCTTACTTAATTGCATAGATCAGTTTTGACTATTTGGTAGTTGAAAGTAAATGTTATATCATATTTTATTATATTGTATTATATTGTATTATATTGTATTATATTGTATTATA